ACAAAATGTCAAAGTTCACAACTCACAAGTCATTTGTTATCTTTTCCTAGGGAAGCTGCTTTGTGCTATCATTCTTTTTCCCCCCACTCATTTCCAGCATCCCTGAGACAGTGCCTGGTCATAGTTTTCATATAAACAACTGCTTACCAATAAGGCAAGGGCATAAAAACCAATCTGGCTGCAGCACAAATAAGTGGAGGGGGGCTTTTTTCAAAATGTCATTTAATTTATATACTGTTTTATGCACCAGTAGTAGAAATAGTTTAAAAAATGGTCAAGAAAATGAACTTAATAATTTCCGCAGGAAGTTTAGTTAGTAAGCAAGCTGTGTTTATGTAACACCCAGCATAAGCATGCCGTAACAGAGACCAAAGCCAAAGAGAAAGCCACATATGAATGTTGTGGAACTGATTTGCAAACCAAGCGCTTTCTCCTCTGTCAACATGCACAAAGAAAGGCAAAATGGTTCGCTCCTTCAATCATTCACACAGAGCCACCTTTTTTTTCAGTGATGCTGCTTTGTGGAAAAATCTATTATTTATTTATTTTAAATGTTTTTATCCCATCTTTCTTCTTAAAAAGAACCCGTGGTGGCTATACAACTGTGTTCATGGCAAGCCTGCCACATGTCTGCAGCACTCAGTTGATATTTAACATCTGTTGCATGCGCGTGTGCACGCACGCGCACACACACACACACACACACACACACACACACACACACACACACACACACACACACAGAGAGAGAGAGAGAGACAGAGAGATCCGCTCCAGATCATGACCTAATTTTATTTGCCTTCCAATCTGGGTCCAGTTCAAGGTGTTAATATTAGCATTAAAAGGGCCAAATGGCTAAGGATGCAGACCCATTCAAGGACTGCCTGCTCCAGAACTGGCCCAGCGGGGATTTAAGAGCAGCCAAAGCAGCAGCTTGTAGGGCCATCATGCATAACAGGACTTCCTCAGTGGCAGAATTTGCATTCGAAACTCCCTTTCAGAAGGGACCTGATGGCCTCCAACCCTTCTGACTTTCAAGCATCCGTTATGTACATTTGCACGCACTCTTGCAGAATAAACAACCGGATTCAAATTGTCTTTGTCATACCTGTTTGTCTCGTTTTTATATTATTTTCAGCATTTTAAACCTGTAATTCCAAATATTAGTAATTTTAAATTGGTGCTATTTGGGGTTTTAGATATTTGCACCTTCTGATTTTAACAGCAGGCCATTAATAGAATAAACTAACAAACAATACACTGATCAACAGGACCAGACCCAGATATTTTGCTGCCTGAGCTTTAAAAAAGAGAGAGAGAGAGAAACCAAGATGGTGCCGCTCCCATTCTATGTACAGAATCCGACAGGATTGCCAGTATATTCTCATTAGCTATGTGATAGCATCCTCCACAATACCTGAAGGCAGGAGACTGGGTGTGCACCTACACTGCCCAGTTATGGCAATTGGGCACCACTTTAAATGCTTTGGTTCCATCCTGTGGAATCCTGGCATTTCCAGCATATGAAGGACTTAGAATTCAGAGCTAAAAGAGCTCCAATGTACTTCTGAGAACTACAGCACCTCATCAAACTACAGATGCCAAGATTCCATAAGGCAGTGACACATGGCAATTAATGTGGTGTTTAACTGCTGGTGTCAATAGACTCCAAGTTAGGAGGTGCAAGCCAGGCTATTTGACATACACCTGTCTCTTACAACAGTGGTCTCCAACCTTGGGCCTCCAGATGTTCTTGGACTCCATCTCCCAGAAGCCTTCACCATCACCTCTGCTGGCCAGGATTTCTGGGAATTGAAGTCCAAGAACATCTGGAGGCCCAAGGTTGGGGACCACTGTCTTACAACACCTTGCTACTACCTCTCAACAACCAAGGCCACAGGTGACCACCAGACTCTTCCTAACAGTCTTGCTGGCCTGCAACCCAGTTCAAATGCTTGTATATCTTCTGAATCATGTGTGTAGTCAAGACATTAAAGGCATCTGCCCCAATTCCCAATGTGCCCACACTGGGTTCTCAAGTGCATGGGAGGGAAAGTATACATGTTAACACAGTCATTATTACAATACCAACAAACTTGCCTTTTTTTAAATAGACAGGGTACAGATTCCAGGATATAAAAGTGCAATATGAAAACTGACCTTTAACTGAGTTTGAAGTTGTATCACACTTTTTTGTTGTTGTTGTTTTGGAAGGCCCTAAAGCTGTTCAAAGAAACTAGTCCAGCCTTGCCAGTTAAAGGATGCTCATGCCATCCTCTCACTCCACAGCCTATAAGTCAGGTTGTGCTGTTTTATTAAGCCAAGTGTCATTCAGCATGAGGCAAAGTGACAGCTTTCACTGATATAGTCCATGACGCAACTGGCACAGGAAGTGAACTGCTGCCGAGGTGCACATCCTTCCACCCAGTTTCTCATTCCGCACAGAACCCCATCGCAAGGATCAACTTGCATCAGTTCAGTCAGCTCTGCTATGAACCCTAAGAATTTTTCTGAGAAGAGTCAAATACACATTTGAGGAAGAGGTTGTTTATATGAACTCCTTCCACTGGTGCTTGCAACAAGAGCATCTTGGACCAAGAATAACAGCTAATCACAGCTCTCCAATGAGCATGACTGTACAAGCATTTGTGACAGTCATGCTTTGCATGTTTCCAGTAATTTTATGTCTTTAGGAAAGACAATGTGTGGGGAATTCCTCAAACTATATCTAAAAGTAATGTCATCTAAGGGCCAAACTCAATAATAGAGCTAGCACGTAATTAGAAGAAATGTGCTCACTTGGGAGATGTTTTTAAAAAGGCTGTTTATTCTACCATGTGATTGCTTTATTCTGCATGTTACTCATTAGCTTCCTTTTGTTTTTGCAATTGGTCATCAAGCAGTAAACATGGGCTCCACTTACTTGCTAGTCCAGTTCTTCAGCCATGAAGCTCTGAAGGGACTGTTTATCAGTAGGGAAAATATAAATGCAGGAGACACATATTTCTCTTAACATGAGATTTGACCATTACTGTCCCACAAATTCAGTCTCAGGTCAGACCTCATCTTGGCCAACTACCAGGGCAACACCCACCTTAAACATTTGCAATATGATCTCCCCCAAATTAGGCACCCCTCCCAGACCTCCTGAATTATGAGTCCCATCATCCTCTGCCAGTCAATCTATATGCTGGTTGATATTGATAGTAGTTGTAGTCCAAGATACATGGAGGATGTCAGGTAGAGAAAGGCAGATCCAGTGGCTAATGTTTATAAAAACTGGTGTTAACACCTAAGACTTTCAAGCATGAAAATTCCTGCCCCCATCACAACAGATTAAGGGCCAAGCACAGTTTCTCTGTAAAGCGAAGGAAAACATAAGCTCCAACAAACAACATGCTCTCCTGCTTTACGTCTAATTTGTCTTTAGCCCCATGTAATCCAGTGAGATTGGCTTGTAAAAAGGCAATAGAAATACATGGATTCCTTATCTCGGCCAGCGGTTCCATACACTTTGCTCTGGTTATACGTTTACTCTCTAAAACTATTTCTTAATGTACAGGCTTGGTTATTGCTAGCTTGAGAGACTTAAGGTCGTACACAGCGGATGGACAGCCAGGCATCCTTGTTGATCCACTTTCTTTCACTCTCAGATACCTGAGCTAGTTATTTAACAGCTATTTGTAAGCAAGCTTATGGAGGGGGGAGTCTCACTAGATCAATCAGTACAAGCAGTGAAAGCTTCTCACCAGAAGCTCCACTGTATCCGTATCATCCCATTACCTACCACCACAAACAGGTATATACTCTAGATGGGGAATGGAGTTGTGCGATAGTTGCCTTTGAAAACTTCCCTCTAATATAAGGATAGGAGAAATGCCATCCTCCAGATGTTTTTTTTTCCCCTTTGGCTCCCGTCATCTCTAGTCAACATAAAAAATGGGGTGGGATGATGGAAAGTTCTTCTCAGCAACATCTGGGGGACCATAAATTCCAAATCCCTGCTGCAAGAGCATGCCATGGGATATTGCAGCATTTCACAAGTAAACATCCTATGCATCATCTTCTTTTAATCCCTTTTTTAACCCAACCTTACCTTTTAGAAATAAAATGCAACTTATTCTAAAGACTCATCTACTGCTAGGTGGACTGACCTACTCTTGATTAGGATGAATCAAACAGTTCCATTAATGTCACATTTACAAATACAAACACCCAAACTTTTGTGAAATTTGAGTTACAAAGCCAAATTCTAACATCAGCTTAGAAAGAATATGCCACCTGGAACAACAGGTTTGACCAGTCTTTGTTCTTATCCAGGTTTTCATTCTCACTTCTTGTCACCCTTTACTTAATTCTTTGCCTGGTCCATGACACAGATCAAAGCGTGCTACTTGGAAGCAGTCTGTGAATGTGCTTTAAATTCTTTTACATCATTTGAGGAGAAAGAAGAGAAGAAAGATGCCTCCAGTAGCCAAAAAGAAGGAGATAAGGGATCCTAATGGACTGATGGAGATTGACCAGAACACAGTCCATAAAAACAAACTTTAGAGGCACCGTGAGGGAAAGCCGTAGTTCATGAATCCTACTGGGTAGAAACAGCTAATGGGAAAGATTCGCATGGACCAGGAATAATGTTCTGAGCTGCTAGCAATTTATAACAACAAACCTAAGATACAACAATCCAGTTTAATACTGCTTTGATCCCTTGAGACATCTAAATACCCATAAGAACTGGTTTAGTACCAAAAACCTAACCCTCAGCAAATCCCAGCATTAATGAACAAGCCGCTAGGATGATTTGCCACCATGTCTGGCACCCATCCGCTTGCACTCCTGCGAGTTGAGAGCAAACTTGTTTCTCTAGGACAGACCCGAAATCTTCTTCCCCTCAGGCAGCAGGAAAAGGTTGGCAGCATGCAGTTTGGGAACTGGTCTCTCCCACCACCCCCATGTCTTCCGAACTGGACATCCCAGAAAGCAGAGCAGGAGAACTTTACCTAAAAGGCCTCAAGGTGACGAGACATCTTCTGACCATTATCTTCCCATCCGAATTCACTGTAATCATGGTTCAAACTTCTTATTTAAATTAAGAAAACTGAGATTTTGAATTTTTTTTAAAGCCCCACCACAGTTATTGCAAAGAGCACATGGCTAGAGGTTTGTTTGTTTTTTTCAGGACATATCAAGGAAAGGGATGTAGACCCAATAAATCCATGCATAGGAAGAGAGCTGGGTCTTCCTTCCTCTCCCAGGTGCTCTGCCTCTGTGGCTTGCCTTTTAAGGGATGTCTGAGAAGAAACAGGTAGGAACCAGAAAAGAGGACTAGGTGGTGGCGGCGACGGCAGTAGTATTCATAGTAGTGGCTCCTACAATGTTTCAGTCACATTTTGGAGACAGCCTGAAGCACCCTTCTCGCTTAATATTAGATCCATTGTTCAGGTGAGGGACACCTGGCTCCAGACACGCGTCGACTCAGGAGGTCCCTCATCACCACCGCCCGTGTCGTCCCCCTCCCCCGTCCCCACAAATCTCTCACGGGACTGCCTTCGCCCAAAGCCGACAGCCAAGCGTTTCGCTCCCGTCCTTCTCCAGGCGAGCTTCAACACTTCCAGGTAGGGGCCATCATTTCCTGGGCTCGTCTGCCCTCGGAGAGGCGGCTCCCAGTCACAGCCGGAGAGGCAGCGGTTAAAGGGAGCGGCTCCATCCCAGCCCGACGGATGCCTCCTCTCCTCATCCTGGCGACCCGAAGCATCCCGTTTTAGCCTCGCCAAGAGGCTGCATTGTTTCCAACGGGCAAGGATGATGCGCTGCTCACAGAGGCGATCAGGACGAGAAAGGGGGGGGGGGCGGGAAGAAGAAGCAGCTTCGTCGCCAAGTTATGAGTCGGGCGCCATCTCGTGGCCACCGTCAGGATGGCTCGTTGCGTCCGTCTTTTCCACCTGCTGCAAAGGGGAGACTTTTAGGCAGACACAGGCAGGGGAGAGGGACACACACACCCCCAGGAAGGGAAGGCGCTGCTTCGTGGCCCGAGTGGGGCCAGCAAAACTCAGCCCTCAGGGCCTGCTTTCCCCCGTCAGCTCGCTTTGGCAAGATTTGCCAGCCACCCAACACTTTTCCAGTGGTTCCATCAACCAGCAGCCCAACTGGGTGCGGTCGCTGCAAGAAATTTTTATCCGCGACCCTTGCAGACTGAATTCCTACAAAGATCTCAAAGTGGGGTTGCCTTCGAAAAGGCCAGGTGCAAAAGCAAGTCGTTTGTGAAGACCTTCCCACGGTTTCCTCCGTGTAAAGTTGCTCGGAAGTGGGTGAGCCCTCCGTCCCTCCCTCCCTCCTTCTCTCTGGGAGGGCAGACTCGGGAACTTGCTGCTTGCCCAGGGCCACAGATGGAGATGCCCACGCTAGCCTGTCAGCCAGGCGCACTCCTTGCCTGGCCTCTCTCTGAGGAGGTGCCTTGGGCACTCAGATTCCGGACCTCTGAGGTGCTCCAACCTACCAAGCTATAACCAGGTTGATCCCTGTCTTCTCTTCTGTCCCATCAGATTGAAACCAACTTGTAGCAATCCTAATAGAGCCTCTCAAAGTAAGTGACATATTTAAGGAGTGGTTTTACCAGTTCCACATCCCCAACTGAGTTTCTATAGGGATTTGAAGTCTGTTCTCCAGAGTCCCAATCCGTCATTCTATCCACTACACCACACTGGGAATCAGTACCTTTATTACACTATTGAAACCTTACAAACAGGCTAGCTTTCAAGTCCTGAAGGCCTCTTCACCAAGCTTTGGGGAGTGGAGGACAGCCAAGGAATCACCTTGGCTAGATGTTGAGGCCAGGCTCTCTTGCCTGAAACGAATTCCAGAATGAAGTCCACAGGCTTTTTCAATCAGCTTGAGGTACCAGACTCCGGCTCAGGGAATGTACACTTCCTTGTCTTTCTCACTCTCCCTTTGGAGAGCATTGCCAGTCTTTCCCATTGCCTTGGACTGGAGCAGATAGCCTCTGTTTGGCTGGAATACAAGAGGCTCCCAGCAAAACTCATATCAGAAAAACTGGAGATTAAATTTGGTTTTCAAACTGAGTAGAAGACATCATCAGCTGCAGCCAGATTAAGAGTATTACCTAGTGGTTGGGTGATGATACAGTCCTGTAGGTGGCTGCCCGAGGCAGGTAATCAGAGTCTCTAATGAAGGTGACACCTTAATTAGATCACTAAAATCTGCCAAATTTCTGCAGGCTCCTTCATTGTATTCAGTGTGAGAGAGCTCGAGGCAAGGAAAGGCAATAGAAAAATCTCCTAATCATTTTAGGTGGATGTTGAAGCCAGGCTCATCAGGATTTTTTTAACAGAGCAAGGAGTGAAAGATAGAGGAGGGAGTAGGAGAAGGAAAAGAAATAATAACCACCACCACCACCTTAGAAGTGTAGCACTGGAAGGACCCCATGAATCATCAAATCCAGCCTCTATAAAGGACGCGCGGTGGGGAATCGAACTCCTAACCTCTAGATTCTCAGCCATAGACCTAAACCACTGAACTATGAAGGACCCTGGTACAAAGGTTGCTACAAGTGGGGCTGCCTACCAGAAGTCAAACTTATTGTAGACAGCCAAAGGTTGCCTTTTTCTGAAATGGTGATCCGTTTGGCCTTGCCTTTAATATAGCCTTTTGTCTGCTTTAGGCTTCTTGCTCTCTCTCTCGCTCGCTCGCTCTCTCTCGCTCTTGCTCTCGCTCTTGCTCTCTATCCCCTGCTTAAATTATGTTGGATTAAAGTAGTCTATATTTTATTCCATATTTTTATCATTTGATATTTTATTATGTATTGATGTAAGATTTATTAGTAATGTTTCTATTGTTGTGAATTGCCACACTTATTTTGTGCATTTGATATTCTGAGTTGCTTTGGTCTCTATTAATGGAAAAACACAGAATAAGTAGACAAATAAATGGAGGTGAATGGCTAGAACTGGTCTGCTGATACAGAGCAACATAGCTGCCAGCAATTTTGGAATCTCCTTTAAGGTGTCGGTAGGGGGACTCCCATTACTGTCCTTCTGAGCCTGAAAATTAAGCACCACGTATCCGGTTCTCATCCTTTTCCCTGAGCCTCCAGGTTTACTGTCTCCATATGAGATGTGGAGGGACGCCTTTCCTTCAGTTATCTTTTTTTGCTTCAGTCCCTTTGCTCCATCCATTGTGTTGAGCAAAAGAGAGAGGCTGTAACTGGGAAAACTGGTGATAAGGAAATACAGCTCCTCTGTCTGCACATAACAAAATTAAATTTCAATTGGGACAGGAAAACGAGACCTTGAGTGCTAGGTTTTATCTTTTAAGCCCTAGCCCAGAAGTGAGGAGCCTGTTGCCTTCCAGATGTGGTTGGACTGCATCTCTCATAATCCCACCACCACTGACTATGCTGTCAGGGCTGATGAGGGTTAGTGTTCAGCAACGTGTGAACAGCCATAAGTTGCCCAGTTCAGCCCTCAATAATTTGAGCCAGGAGGATACCTGAAGGAGAACCTTCTCCCACAGGCTCTCTTTTGGATTTGCAACCTGCACAAGTGGTGCTCTGTAGAAGTCACAGCCATAGGCAGTATGCTTAGGGCAGTGAGGACAATGATCGACTTATTTTCCCCTGAGGGTCACTTGCTTATGTTCAAGAATGAGTAAGGTTCTTGCTGTGCGGTGCATGGGACCCACAATATATCCACTCTCCAGACCTCCCCAGCATCCCCCATGCCGGAAACAAATGGCATAAAAATGGCCAGTCACCTCCCTCTAAGTCTAATGGGCCATGACTGATGATTTAACAGCTTTTTGAGAAGGTGGCTTCTTTTAGTCCAGAAATAACCTTTTCTATTTTCATTCCACGCAATAAACAAGAATTATTTGCCCTTTCCTCTTTGCCATTACCAGCCAGACTCTCCTGGTTCATTTCTCTACAGAAGAATCTTAATGTTTCCCCAATTTCTGGCTAATAACATTTTTACAGCTGCAGCATATTGTTGACCAGCTGCCATTTCTTCTTCGAAATGTAGCTCCTCAAATCATTTGGATAAAAACTTGCGTAAAGGTCAAATAATCTTTATTAGTCACACCTCTTAGCTAGGCCCCAAAGGGGTACAAAAATAACCTTTACACTGTTACAATAATAACTCACAAAATATGCAACTTAAAACTTCTGATTCATTTGCAAGTAAATTTTAACAGCATGTTGTACACTTAATATATTGCAGACTTTTACCTTAAGCTAACTGACTAAGTAAGGGACGTGGTGGTGCTGCGGGCTAAACCGCAGAAGCCTGTGCTGCAGGGTCAGAAGACCAGCAGTCGTAAGATCAAATCCATGCGACAGAGTGAGCGCCCGTCGCTTGTCCCAGCTCCCGCCAACCTAGCGGTTCGAAAGCATGCAAATGCAAGTAGATAAATAGGGACCACCTTGGTGGGAAGGTAACAGCATTCCGTGTCTAAGTCGCACTGGCCATATGACCACGGAAGATTGTCTTCGGACAAAACGCTGGAAACGGGGATGAGCACCACCCCCTAGAGTCGAACACAACTGGACAAAAATTGTCAAGGGGAACCTTTACCTTTACCTAACTGACTAAGTAGCTGGCTGGATATCTCAGTGGTTTAGGTTTAGGCTGCAAAGCATTTTAGAGGGAATTCTGGGAATTATAGACCATAGCCACAAATCTACACAGTTCTACTCTCTAAGCTTTTTAGAATTATCTTAGGCTCATCTTGATGAATCTATAGGCAAATTTTACATTAAGAGTTTTTACTTTTAAACCACCAACAACACCCATGGGATGGGGTTGATCAGAACTGGATTCATGGTGCCTAGATTTAACACTTTTCCCCCACCACATTACAGTCCCATTACAAATTTCTCTCTCATACACCTGTTCTTAACCCAAAGGCCGAGAAGCAACAGAAATACAACAAATAAAGAAGCAAACAAAGCCTTTTCTGCATGGGGTCATTGGAGCAGGCTGGGAGAGGTCTACATGGGGTTGCTCAAGGTCCAGTCAAGGATCCTCACATCCAAATGGCATGCACACCTCAAGCCAGCTTATTTCCTTTGGCTCCTTCCTCTTTGAATTCCTCTTTCAATTTCCCATGTTGTGAATGGCTTAAGAAGACAGCCACTTCCTGATATGGATAAATTAAACACTTCCTCTTCTCCCGGATGAAGGAGCAGGGGAGGTAAAATAACTGTACATTGTATTAGGGCAGCATTGATCCACTGCACCACTGATTAAAAAAAACAAGAAAAATGGAAAACCTCCTCAACAGAACCTGCCCACAGCCAAATCCACTGTACATTCAGCTGGGGCCATATTCTGAGAAGACATTTTCCATTTTTCTTTTATTTTGTATAAGTGGCATGGTGCATCAGCCATCATACAATGTAATTAATTTTTTTACTTCCTCTGTCCTTCTCCCTCCTTCCCAGTGTCCTGAAATATCTCTCTTCTTAAGTCACTTCATGATACAGAAAAGTCAAAGAGAAAGACCAATTTGACAGCAGAAGGCTCGCTTTGGTTTATTTCCAGTGATCCCACACAATGGAAACAAACCGAAATGGAGTTATTTTACCTGCACCAAAAATAAGTAGCAGTTCCTAACAAATGTGTGGGTAGGAAAGCTCTGGGGCCAGGCTGATTTGCTCCAGCAGTTATGTTGTGGCTTTGTCTTTCCTACAACATTATAGAAAAGTGTTTATATAAGTGTTTATCAGAAAAAAAGAGCCCACAGCAAACCAACAGCAAGCTAAATGTCTATCTGATTGCATCCAGAATTGCAAGGAGAGAGACTTTAGTCCCA